TGTATTTTCAGTTCAGGAGCAAGCAGATATATTTCATTTTACTGTAGTTATCCATTTGATAGTTTCGTAATAAAATTAAAGGAAAATATTTCGGTTCATTATCATGGTTGCATTATGTATCTAACACTAGTGAAAATCTATATTAGGTGGAATAACCCGTGTTTACCTGTTTTCGGTAATAATTAAAAAATTCATAATCTCGTCAAGATCCATCGAAATTATGTCAGAATATCAAGATGCACTCTATTTTACCTGCTCAATACTATGCAGTTCAACAAAAGCTTTAAAAGTCAACAGAAAATACTTTGGTTTTGGAAAGTTGGTTAGAAAGTAATAAAGAAAAGTGTATGGATTTGCCCAATACTAGAAAATCGAAATGGATTAGTACGTTCCAATTCTCAGGGTATAAAATGTAATCAAGACAATTGTTATTAAACATAGTAATTTTCTAACCTTAATTCTATAGAGATAATGAGAAGGTACTGGCTAAATTACACAATGCACTATGAGCTTTTAATTGTATAAGTATCCAGGAAAAACCACCCGTTGAAAGACCCGTTTTTTCGAGGCTCTTAGAAAACTTGCTGAAAATCCCCGAAAAACCAGTTTTGTAACCAAAAAGCAATACAGATTCTGAAAGTAGACACTTCAGGCTATCTTTCCATGTGCGTATCTCAAAACCGATTTTTTGACCGAAAATCACCATTTCTGGGAGGGAAGACCCTTAAATAGGAGAAAAGGATCCCATGAAGGACACGTTCTAAAGCGGCTCGTAAAATAACAAATCTCTTCAGCATACGATCAATCTCTATTTTGTAGCTTACCTATTTCGGCTTGCTCAATAGGAGAGCATCGATGATTAGTTTGATCCCATTGGTCTTCTGCTATAAGTTCACTGTAAGAAAATTTCACAGCATTCACAAATTTGCTTAACGATATATGATCAGCATTGGTGCCGAGTGTACCTTCGGATGAAATGTATAATAGATCATCACAAAAATGAACATCGCTACCAAGTATTTCTGATAATTTCTCATAATAGTGCGTCAATGTGCCGCCAGATCAAGATTGTGTCATAATTAATTCTGGAAATAATCGTTTACCCCATCCTGGCTGGATGTCACTCATTATCTCTTAAATATTGTCCACTAATTTTGGTTCAGGTGGTCGTAATTTCTCAATTAAAGTTTGTCTAAGTGCCAGTGATATACTAGACCAAATGGGTGAATCATCTGCAGGTTTTGCTGTTTTAAGATCATGAACCATTTGACGCCAATTTAACTGAATGACATCGAATAATTGCAACAGATTTGGGACAAACACAGAACCGATTGAACGAACATTATCTCTTTCTTTCAAAGCGAATAATATTTGAATATAATACGGTTCTAAATGTCCGCAATCTAATATTTCGTAGGCGTCTGGGGATGAAGCGAAACGCCATATTGAAGGATAATCACCATTAACAACTTCTGAACGAGACTTCTCATTTAACCGTTTTAAATATGTTGCATGATCAGCAGGATGCCTATAATAAAACATTGATGCTGGCCCTAGTAGATGCCATCTGTCGACTGGCTTCTTTTTCCAGCTTTAGCATATAATAATAACTTTTTTGTTTTTTCCTCGAATAGGGATAGAAAAATTTTTCACTTAATACGTACTGTTGATCAGCTCCATGAATCATAAATGACGGTAGAGCATTGATATTAAATGGAAAATGCTTTGAAGATCATGTTGCGCCCGAAGATACAGAATACATAGCAACAGTTCCTTTGGGAACTAATAAATTCACTTCACCGTCTATCGATCGTTGCGCGTAATCTTTAATATCGTCGTAACTCGAAACAGGTATTTGAACAGTGAATAGATCTACCAGTTTATCAATATCATCTTTCGCTTGTTCTAATAAGTCATTTAATTTATGTTTTTTGCTTGATTCTGTATCTTTCAACTGGATTAAA